ATTAGAAGGTTCTGGATGGCGCATAAAGTGCTGGTTTTTTACTCTTCCTCATCGGTGGTGCTGGGAACTTGCACGTGTTCGGAGACCCAAAATATGGTTGGGGATAATGACTTCAAAACGGACTACCAAAGTTCTAATAGTTGCTTTGTATGTTTAAAATTGATATAGATGCATTATAATAGCTTATTAATAGGCAAGAATGCGCCATTTGCATCAAATTTGTTTGTGTCAACGAGGGTGGTCGCCTTATAGAGTTAAAACTGTAGGGTAGGGGTGATACTACTAGTCCAAAAAAGTACTAATATAATGATCTAACATTTAAAAAAATCTCAGTGTCCAGTATTGCCTTGGCCGTTCCAGGGGGCAGAGTGTCCGGGTACAGTGTGTCCGGCTAGGCCGTGAACCTCAGTACCACTAGCCCCACCTCTTTCTAAACGTGTAGGAATACGCCGGCTAGCGGCAGGAACGATTTTTGGGATGACTCGCAAGTTAAATTAGGTGAACAATCGACTAGCGATCTAAATGGAGGGAGCGAAATATTTGCCATATTGGCGTACAGTAACATTAAAATGATTATCTAAATAAAAGGATTTCAAGAAAAGCTAGGTATGAGAGGTTTGATTGCTTCACTTCTCCATGGCGGCGCACCTTCAACCAACAATCACCTCATCAATGTCAACGATATACTGGTGAGGAAAACTACTTTCATTAATGCACTACTATCCTATGGTCGAGATATCGCGGAAGTTCTTGGAATACTGGAAACACGATTATGTATGGAGCAAGATCTAGATGTGGCTACGGGTAAAAGCAAAGATAAAATAGTTCAATGTAACAAGCAATATAGAAACAGGATCGCGAGAGATAGGCAAGTTCAGAGCTCAATGAGGCTACCAAATCGAGAAAAGTATGATGGGACAAGGTGGTAAAGGTTTATTTAACCCCTTTGACCTATACTGCGCCTTACTGGGTAACCGGACACTTAACCTGGTTGTCATTTTTGTACGACATCACACGTACACAATTTATA